TTTGTTTGAAGAAGAAGCAAGAAAACCACGAGATTCTCTTAAATTGCAGAGATTTCCACTCAAATTAATGCCAACTATAGATGAATTTTTTTGATGTAATAGCCTAATAGTTACGCTTCTTCCTGAATCACTCAAAACTTAATTATGGAAACCTCAAAATTATTGTAATGGGCATACATTGCATGATACACATTTGCAAAACATAAGGAACACCTACAAAAAGGAAGACCAGAACTAAATTATTGAAACTGAGATATAAATACTTTATGCTTTACGTTTGTTGGAATTTTACATTTGCAATGCATAAAAGGAATAAGATACCTCAGCATTTTCTGATACCAAAACAATAGGAATTGCTGTCTTTAAATGGTCTGCATAATATTCAGCAGCTTTAACACAACATCTAGGAAGAAATTACAAAGAAATTAGAGCTCAATATTTAGATATTTCAAACATCAGAACTTTAAAAAAAAATTTCATGTATTAATCAGTTATTGACTTTAAATTAGACTTTTATTTTCTTGGTCAAACTAAAGGGTTGCAGGATACAAGCATCTAAAACAACTTTGGTGTAAACCAGAATTTCATAATTTTAACTGAGTCAACATTTGTAATTATATATTTTATGAATTAAGTAGTTAATAAATAGTTTGAGAAAACTGCATTCATTTTAATAATTTAAAATACAAATGAAATCCTACTATTAAATCCTGCAATGATAAATATAAAATATTATTGAAAAGAAAGGAAAATATAAACTGATATTATATCTAAAAAATAGCAACATGAAACAGTAACATCCTGGAAAGCAAATAGAGAGATAGTGAGTCTACATTTCCAGCAAAGCTAACCTGAACATATATGTTGCAGAATTTGCAGGGGTATTCATTACAAAGTATTCATTGTTTTTAGCTCAGAGATTCTATATACCAGCAAGACAGAAATATTCGTTGCAAACTAATATAACAATTTTTTGTACAATTTGTTCATAGTATATGTTTATATGCCAACTTTGCCATTTTGAAAAGCTCATTTTAAATACAAGATTTATGTTCTATACATTTTTTTAATTTCTGAAGAATAATTTTTAAACTAATAATCCCATAGTAGTTACCTAGCTTAAAATTGTTTTGGATGTTAGATTGAAATCAGGATCACATTCTTTTTAATCTTAAGGCTGTTTACAATTTAAACTTTACACTCTTTAAGGTGTGTAATTGAATGTATATAATATATTTAATTACATATGAATTTTTCAGATAGCATTTTTTAATACAGTTGTTTTATTTACTTTAACATAAAAGATGCTTTACCTAGTATTTTATATCAACCCTTCTCTATTTTCATGAAATGAAAAACTGCACTCAGAATTTTATAAAATAATTTTTAAATTATAACTTTTAGATTGAGTTGGCTAAACTGCATGTCACTCTAAAACACAGCTTTCCATTTTGCGATTGCAGCAGACTTAGATAAAAGTTTCAAAGAATAAAATTTTAATAAAGGTCCCTTCCCTTTCCCCCAAAAATAATTTCTTTAAAAGGCTATTTGCAACACATTGGCTACAATAAATATAATAAAAGTTTATTAAATAGTTAGTTGAGAATAATTGTCTACATACTACACTCTTAACCATGGACATAGCCATGGGGGTACAGTGAGGTGCATTTGCACCCACTAAAGTCTTTTTTTTTTTTTTTTTTTTCCAATTAACAAGTTAGTGAAACGTTTTCTCTGTTTCTTATATTAATCTTTAAGGTCTCCCCACTCAAGTAGAATCTTAGCTGAACGACTTTAATATTTACCCAGCTCAAAAGATTTTTCATAGCCGGTCATACAAATAAGGACCACCTAGTCTCGAGACATCCTTTTGCTTGCACTCACCTTAAATGATATAAATAAGTAACGGATGTCTGGTTGTAATTCCAAGAGTTTCCTATAAACAAGTGTTCTCTTTTTGTCTGGTCTAAGTATAATTTTTAGTACCCTGGGGGCTAACCAGAGGCTTCTTTGTAATGATGACATTTGCAACGTCCAGATCTCTTTCTCTGATTTATGACAAGGGGAAAATTGTTGCAAAACTCTTTTCTGATTCGAGTCAATATGGTGTTTTAAATCTGACAAAATACTTAGAGTTAAATAATTAAAGAAATGAACATTGTAAAGTATAATAATTTGTTTAATCTGTTCAAAAAAACACTTGCACATGGATCAAGGAAGTTTAAAGTGCTCAGCAATTTTATCTACTCTACCATTAACGAATTCGTGTCATATCATAGTTTCGTTTTTTTGGTCTAAGATTGTTTGCACCCTCCTAGCTCCAATCCTGGCTATGCCCATGCTCTTAACACATGTTATAAAGTTATCATAAAGATCTTCTGTTAGAAGTGCTGACTGTAAAGGATAAAAGCAGAATAGCATGATGAATGTTAATTACAAGCTATGATGTTCCATGCTATTAAACTCAACATTAAAAACAGGGGGGGGGGGGGATGGAGCTGCAAGGTTTATTTAAGCTAAAAGTAATTACTAGAATGCAAATTAAGTTGAATTTAACAGCAAATGAATATGTAATTTACAGACGCAATCTATGTATCATATCAGAAAAGCAGTTTATTTCATGAGTTAATCCATCTATGTTGAGCTGACTTTATTGAGGGATTTGTTGTAGTTGTTCCTTCTCAGCATTTGAAATTAGCATCATGTTATGCACATTGTTATGAATTTTGTAGATATGCAAATAATTTTAGTGAAGTTGTACAGTGTACGCTTTTTTTTTTTCTTTTAACCAGGAGACATGAAAAATGTGCAGTGCCATCACCTGGGCTTGAATATGCTTTGCATGTGCTTCCAATTACACAACAAAAACATGCGGAGAGAGAAAATATCTTATATACTCATCCTTTTAACCCACGGGAAAGCGCGTGGGGTGTATCATACCCTAACCCTACATAAAAGTGGAATATTCCTAACTTAGAGAAGTATGTGATTGGAAGAGCATATTTAAGATCAACATTAAAGAAAATAAAATCTGAATTCATCTTTTCCAAACATCCTGTATAAGAAGCAGCATGGTCTATTAAAAACATAAACTTCCAAATGTCTCCATAGTTCTTATTTATGTATGTAAGATAAAAAAAAAAAAAATATGTAAAACAGCTCTATAATTTAATTCAGTAATAGCCTTTTAATTGCTGTTTTTTTTATTTAGTTATTTCCTCTTTATTCTAAAAATGATAATAACATTTCTGGACTGTGTCAATTCTAGAATAATCTATGCCACAAAGCTTGTGTAATGCTGATGATGTAGCTATTTCAGAACCGAAACTCTGAGAACTGAAACATCTAAAAAAGAAAAACCTTCCTCTTTGGTGAGCTGCCATATTGGATAAATGCTTACTTCGCTTATGTCTCTGTTGCTGCTTTGATGACATTTCATTTCACTGTTTTCTCTTCCTATCGCAACAGTATTAAAAATGTAAATGTTCTGAGAACAGGCATGATTAGAATGCCAAATGAACTGTGGCTATAAATGTAAATTTAATTAAAAATGGAATTAAAACTGCCTCAACTGCCAAATTTCTTATTCAATGTGGATCAATATTTCAGTATTCTATGCAATCAGTATTCTTCCTCTTCAATATGGATCTATGTTCTACTCCTAACAACACTGCTGCAATTCTGCACCTCAGCGTACATGAGTACTTTTAAAATTTTGTGTTCATTACATTTTTTAACGGGACAGGTTGCCTCAAGGGCAGAATGTGAAATTTATTTCAAATGGAAAATTTATTCAGCTACCTCTTATATATTTAAATGTGGAAAAAAATATCACTGTTTTGCTGTGGTGTTTCACAAGTACTTCAAGCAAACAAACAAACAAAATAATAATAACAATCATGTGTAGTGATTACAGAATAAAAGTAATCCCCCAATAAAATCCAAAGGTTCGAATGTCTAGTGAAAAGAAATACTGAATTTGTTTCGCCCATCTCTACAATATTCACATGGAAAAAGAAAGCATTTTAAACCATCAGTGAATTAATTCTTAAGAGATTCAGCATTACAGTTAGTTCAAGGTCATCTAAGTGTGTTTATTGTGCTTCAAGTATGTGCCAATGTTCCAAATCTCATTCTGATACCTTGAAGGTTATCGAAATGTGTAGTTTCATCCGGCTCTTTTTTCTTAAACAAACTCGAAACTACATCCGTAAACGTAGACAAAATTATTTTTTCAAATTTTCATTCAAAATTTCAAAAATTCAAAAAGTCAAGATTCTGATTTCTCAATAGATAAGTATTCATCATTTTTTTTGGGGGGGGGAGTGAAAGTGAAAAAAAGGTTACTGGCAAGGACAAACTGTTGTTATTCCCAGAATTCTTAACGGTTGAAGCCCTAGCTTTTTACACTAGAGAGTGTGTATTGATAACTGTGTAGTCCTTAAAGACAACTCTTAACTTATTTTTCAAATTCCGAAAATACAATAGACTCCCGATTATCCGCAAAAAGTTTTTTTTTTAAGCGTAAAGCAAAGTAAATAAAAATGTTTACAAAACTGAGCGAAACGTTAAATTTGCTAACATTGTGCTTATTTATGGCAAAAATATCCCAGGCGTTCTCCAGGGTTCATAGCCACATTTTAATTAAAAAAATAAGCACCTATAAGCATTTTTCAAGCACATTTTAAGAAAAAAATAAGCACCTGTCTAATTACATTATACACAACTGCATAAACCTTAAAAGAAAAATTAGACTTGCAATTTAAAATATGAGCAATGCAATATTTATTAAGAGAATGAGCATTACCAACCATGGAAAACAATTAACTTTTTTTTAATTTTAAATGACGTTCATTTACAGAATTAGTTTAAATAGAAAAAAAAACTATGCAAAAACATTACAAGATTTAATGATGAATTCAGTCAAAATATAAAAAAAAATAAGCATAATTGTCGTTGGCCTAATTTAATTATTTTCAGTTATTTAATAATAACTTAAGGTGGTCTACTACAGCAGCATTACAATACTAAAAATTTTTTTACACGCAGAATCGCTAATTAAGAAACTATGTTGCGTGCAATTTGGCAGAAATATAAAGCAATAGGTCAGTTTTCGAATCACAATGTTAGAATCAGGTTTGAAATGAAATTTACTTAAATATTATATTTTAAAAAAATTAGTTTGAAATACGTAATTTTAATGTGTAGTTTGGAAAGCCATCAATAGATGGCGCTACGAGTTAAAATTTAACATTGTAATCTTATTTCTGCAAAAATTCACGAAGTAATTGATTTTGATATCAGTTATAAATCATATTTTTTTCTAAATAATATTTAGAAGCGTTTCATATATTCCTTTATACACAGTTTTCACTAAACATTGTCAGCTGTCAGCAGAATGACGTTTACGGCAACCCTATTGCATTGCTATTCCGCACTCGTTTTGTTTACATTTATTTGTACTGTGGTCAGTTTGCAAAAAATATGCGAAAATATCAAGGACGACCGAAAAAACATCCTGGTTTTAATAAAAGATCCAGAATTCAGCGTAAACGTCGAGCTCAAGAAAAAAATATGAAATTAAATTCCCGAGATGTGGAAGATTCCGAACAAGCGGATGTTTTCGAAAGGTGAGAAATAATTTATTCTTTATATCGACTACCCCGTGTTTATGATTTCGTAGTAAGTTAATTCCGAAGTAAAATATGCGTATTTTTTTTATTGAAGGTCAGAAATTATTGATACAACTGCATCTGTGTCAAAGGAGAATCATTGCCCGGATGATTTTTTTACAAAGTAAGTTTTTTTTTTTTTTTTTTTTTTTTTTGTATGTGTGTGTATGAGGGGATGCTAATAATTGTTCAATTCTGTTATAAGAATTTATTCCTCCATTCACACTAAATTGTTGGGAAATATTGAAAGGGTAAATTCCAATTCACAAGGAATTGCTGAAATAATTGAATCTTTTCAAAAGTATGAGCATGTTCTTGCGATCTAAATTGAATTCACCATCATTACATGTATTATTGGAAATTTTATAGTCATATGTTTGCTACGAAATGCTTTGTCAGTTACCTATGGTATATTTTAACAGGGTGTATGCACATTTATTCATGTGCTCGCTGTTCAACTTGCTTTTTTTTATTATGTCATTTACTTGGATGTTAAAACTTTCTTTTAGCGTTGGAACATTTTATGATCATTTAGTAAAATTTATATATAATATATATTATTGCTTGTTTATTTATGGTTCTGTGTATTTGTCATGTATGCATGTTGTGAAGTGTAGTTTTTGAAAAATATGTCACAAATGTTAAATTCCACCAAAAGCTGAATTGAATTGATATTGGGATGCAGGTAATTAGAAAATATCTGCTGTGTATTTTGAGCGTAAACCAAACTAGTGCCAAGAATGGGACCAATACGCTCAGGCTTGCTTAGCCTTTTTGCCATTGTCCAAATTGAATTATCTCCAGTATAAAGGGAGTGAATGCTTTCTCTGTATAACATTAAAATATCCGTCTGATCAAAAATCTACCAATAAGAAACTTTTCATATGTTATGTGACAGACTTTCTGCAAACAGAAGTCCTCAGCTCTGTTCTTGTACATGTTTTTTAATTGTGGTTCAGATGTGTACTTCTCAAAGGAATTCTTCTCATAGGAAGATTATCTGAACATTTAAAAACTATATTCTGCTTTTAGGGGCCTAATATTTTATGCCCCTAAAATTAATATTGAAATTTCTAAAATGTTGAAAAATATGTCATCTGGATTCTGTACAAAAAATATAATCCCCTTTTTCATTTCTGCATTTGCAATTCCTGCATTTTCTTTATTCCTACATTTTTTAATTGGAAGGAATTTCATTCGCAGAGCCCTCTAATTTATTCTTACAAATCATGTAGTAATGTACCATTTTAGATAGATATAAATAACACATTTTGTAATTTTTCTAAACTGTGGTTATACAGCATGATATAATAGCTACACAGGGTATGGCGAAACAGTATACAGCAATATCTGTCGCACTGTCTGAGATGGGTGGTAGTCATACATAGCTTAATGCTTAAATTTGTTATGTGTTATTTATTTATTCATGTTTTTTTTTTTTTTTTTTTTTTTAATTATGTTTATAGCAGTTTATTTCTTTCATTCTTAGGTCCGGAAGTGAAAAATTTGACTTTTCTACGCCAGAAGTTACAGCTAATGTTCCTAAGACAAACCAGGCTTTCCTGAGGTAAGTTGGTTTATTTTTAAAATAGATATTAGCTGTGCATGATATTACAGTTACTTAATTATGGTTAACTAATTATGTATTAATTTAGAAGTCAAGCAACCAAAATCAGCGTTATATTTTCAAATAGTGAATATTTCAAAATATGATGCTGATTTTTGTTGCTTGACTCTCAAATTAATACTTGGTCGGTGTGTTATTGTATCTTAATTAAACTAATTATGGTTCTTTTCTTCTCAGTTCTGATCTGGACATTTCAGTTATTGACTCTGACGTAGAAGGTAGAAATACAAGCTCTCTTTTGGGGTAAATATGTATTTCTCTATGCCAAAATTAAAATGTCATCATTTATGTTTTTCTTTTATGGTGTTACATTATGTTGTTTACATACTGATAGCTATTAAAACTGTTAAAATATAATATTGTAGCTATCAAAAAGAGGGGGATGAATTTGATTTGTACCAAATTTGGACGTTTTGCATGAAAGAACTTGAAAATAAAAGATTTTTTTAAAAATATATTCATTGAAATCAGTGAAATTTTCAGTCGGGACACTGAAGCAAATGAAAATATTTTGGGGTTTGATTCTTTTGATGGGAGCCTCATCAATAAGCCTACTATCTTTTTTAAATATTGCTTCTTTTTCATTGTTTTCATGATGTTTTATGTTCCCTTCATGAAAGAGATTTTTAATAATTTAAATTTTGTTAATAAAATATAACAAAATGAAATCTGTGATTATGTGGCTGTTATTTTTTTCCATATATATTTATTTGAGGAAAACCACAAATTTTATTATTTTACAGAATTTTTAAGAAAAATATAAGGATAAAATTTTTTAAATAATTCTGATTACTACCTTTGCTTTCCTCTCATAATGTGCCTCAAATTAGAGCAATTAGACAACAAATTTAAGTCGTGATCTTTTTTTTCCAAGTTTTTTTTTTAGGCTTAGGAGTATAAATTGCTTATCCCCACAAGACAGTGCATCTTCTTAGTATGCCATCCTAAGGCTCCGTTCACATGATGGTATAAATGTCATAGACGCATAATCATAAGGCACAAAATGTGGGAGTTCCATTCACACCTGCGAGAGAGGGTCTAAGCCATAGCCAATTAGAGAAGCTAAATTTGTGCATGCATGTATGTGTCTACAGCTTTCTCTCTCAATAGGTTTTATGTATATGCTCTGATTGGCCGACTCTTATATCAAGTCGGCACAAAGTTGAAAACTTCAAGCTTAATGCCCAAACTAGTTTTTGTGACATAGCAAGGTCTGACTACAAAGCGTTGTTAGTTGGGAATTATGACATTTATACAACGGCTTGAATAGAGCCTTAGAAAGCCATTTGGTAACTGAGTTATCCACCATGAAAGAGTTATTCTTGCCCCTCTGAATTCAGTGTTTACTGGAACACGAACATTTTATACTCAGGTGTAGAGGCCCTTCATGTGAAACCTCCGGCACACAAAGTAGTGACTAATATTGCACGAGCAAATGACACTGCGAGCATGGAAGCAGCAGTTGTGAAGATGACTCATCTTCTTGTAGTAATATACTGGTAATCCAGTGTATTATTATTGTTAATTTATTTGCTATCTGTTGCCTAAATTTCCTAAACCTAATTGCGAATGGGCTGCCTGCATGGGCGTTTTCATGGTTTTCCCCGTGTATATGAGCCATTTCCCTTAGAAAGTCCTCCATGAAAGCATTCCTCCTCTTAGGAAGATCAAGTGCTTTGCTGTCATCAAATAAGCCAAATTTAAACCTAATTTGTAATATTTATATATATTAATTATATATATGTATATATATTGTATATATATATATTTTAGCTTGGAGTCTGAGCCTCTTCAGGAGAACCTTAATGATGAATTTCTGTGTCCTGATTCACCTTTAATTATCGAAAGGGAAGATCGACGAAAGGCAAATCCATTACCATCTGGCAGAACAATTTGCAATATGTCTTTTGTAATAGTGCAGGCTAGGACATTAGAGCAACATTCCCTAAATTGTAAATTTGGAGGATCATTTATTTTTAACAAAGTGATTCGACGTGGTCTTGTCACTACATATAACTATGTATGTGATAAAATTTTATGTGGGGAAATGGCAACAATTTGTTCTGATATGGAGAAAAGCAGCCTAAATCAGCTTGCAGTATTAGGTGCGTTATCTACTGGCAGTGGATTTTCACAAGAGGAGGAAAAGTTTAGCATCATGGAAATTCCGTATATGAGCAACTCGACCTTTGCTTCTTGTGAGCGAACTACTGGCAAAATAATACAGGGATGTGCACAGGAAACTATGTGTGCTGCTATAGAAGAGGAGAAAAGGCAGGCAGAACTTCGCAATGATAAAGATAATGATGGTTATCACTGTATAACTGTCATTGTTGATGGAGGTTGGTGTAAAAGAAGCTATGGGCATGGTTACAATGCTTCAAGTGGCATATCTGTTATTATAGGCATGGTCACCCAGAAAATTTTGTTTGTTGGAATTCGCAACAAAGTGTGCCTTATATGCAGTGCTATTGAAGATGGCAAGATGCCAAATAAAGTGCACCTTTGTTGGCGAAATTGGAATGGGCCTTCTACAGGTATGGAAAGCAGTGCCATTGTGGAAGGTCTGAATTATCTCCAGTGTGTTCACAAAATACGTTGTACTCGACTTGTTGGAGATGGAGATGCTAACACAATGGCCAAAGTGAAAGAAAGCGTTTCATATGGAGGACGGGTGATCAAAGTAGAATGTGCTAACCATGCTGTTCGAAGATATCGCAGAGCTCTTGAGAAACTTCAGCAAAATACTGCGCGCTTCCCCGGGGCTAAAGGAATTGCTGCCCGTAAATTGCTGAAAATTAAAATGCCACTGTTAGTCAGAGGTGCTAGAGTAGCTATAAAAGCTCATGCTTTACCTAGCCATTATCAGCACACACAAGAAGCTATTGATGCATTAGTATCTGACTTGAGAAATGGGCCACATCATATATTTGGCAAGCATGATGCTTGTAGTGCTTTTTGTGCAAAGAAAGGTGCAGAGTTGGACAGCACATACAATGAAATTTTTTCCTCGGGTATGTTGCAAGCTATTGAAGCAGAAGTGGGAAGAGTACTGATATCGTGTAGCAGTACTCTTATTTGGAATGCCACAAATAATCCTGCTGAAAGCTTCATGAGTCAACTGTGTAAAACATCTGGTGGAAAAAGAGTTGATTTTTCCAAAGCTGGTGGCATGAACAGGCGTGCGAGTATTGCTGTCATGGCCTATCAAAATCCAGCACAGCAGTGGCAAAAAAATGCACAAAAAGCTGTAACAGGAAGTAGCCCCAGGACTCCAACTTTGAAATTCTTAGCTTCCAGAAATAAGCGCCATGTAAAACGTCTTGAGAGACGTAGACTTTTTGACACTGAGAAGAAAAAGAGAAATATGAGGAAAGCAGGACATATTCAGCAAGGTGGGGATATTTCTTATGGTGATTTTCCTGAGAAACCAGACCTATCAGATGAAGCATATGAATTGGCAGCTAAAAATTTTTTTATATCAATTGAAGTTCCAAAAAAAGATTCTCTTGAGGCCGTAACACGTGGACAGTCATCATCTGAAAGATGGCGTCATGAAAGATCAAGAAGAATATCATCATCCTTTTTCAAAGATGTTGCTGATAGGCGTCCAACAACACTCAGTGCTGCTTTAGTGAAACGTATCATATATAATGATAACGTTTCAACTAAAGCATTAAAGTATGGCTTGGCTAACGAAGCAGTAGCCTTAAATCAATACAAGGAAAAGCACATGGGAAAAAACATCAGACGTTGTGGCCTTTTTATTGATCCTAAATATCCCTTTCTTTGTACTTCGCCAGATGGATTGATAGACGAAGATGGATTACTTGAAATAAAATGTCCTTATACAGCCAGATTCTCAGCAGACTTGTCAGACTTTTTCAGCAAGCCTAATTCTGTTGGTCTTCGGATGGATGCTGATAATAATCTTTATTTACCGAAAAGCCACAAATATTATTTTCAAATTCAAGGGCAGTTAGCCATAACAGAGAGGAATTGGTGTGATTTATATATATGGTGCAGAGAAGATGCAATCACATTAAGAATACCCGAAGACAAAACTTTCTGGATCAGTTTAGTTCCAAAACTCGAAAAATTTTACGTGAATTGTATTCTTCCTGAGCTTGTTGATCCAAGAGCACCAAGAAAAATGTCTCTTAGAGAACCGAAGTATATTGTTGATGCTAGAGCACAGAATGAGAAACAAAAACAGGCCACTGCTTCTGTAAAACAAACACAAGAAAAAAGAGAAATTGAAATTTCAGAAGCAGATAAAATTATTTCATCTCCTAGAAAGAATGCAGGAGAGAAAAGAATCAGGAAACCAAAAATTATTTTTGATTTGTAATCAGTAACAAGCCAAGCCAGCACACCGTAACATTTTCTACGTCTGAATAAAAACTATGCCTGCAACAAAGCATTATGATTAAATCCATACCTAATTAGAATATTACCCCATTTCTCTAAAAAAAATATGTTCAAAAAGTCTCTGCTTTCAGTAATAGATACGTCTGATCAATTCTGCCATAATTCTGTAATCAATACTTGAAGCTAGAATCTCCTGTGCTGCACTGCCATTGCATCTCTTTTCTGAATGTTTCATCATCCACTTCTCATTCTAAATATTCCTGTGTGCTTTCATTTATAGCTGCTAACTTGTTGTGAACATTTTCTGCACCACATGTTATATTTTGCAGTGTAAATAATGCGTGCAATCATATATTTTGGTTTTAATCATCAGTAACTTTGGTAAAACTACATTTATGCAAAGAAGACTTCCATAAAGTCACAGTTTCTGTGAAAAAGAAAATAAGTTTGATGACCTCTGTCATAATTCAATAAATAATTTTTTAAAATAGCATCACCTGTGCTGCACTAACATTGGAAAAAATTAAAGTCATCTCTTTTCTGAATGTTTCCTCATGCACTTCTGTTTCTAAGTATTCTTGTGTGCTTTGATCCATAGCTGATAACTTGTTGAGAATATTTTCTGCACAACATGTTACACCTCTGAACTTAAATACTTGCGGTAAAGAAGTATTTTGGTTTGAATCATGTGTAACTCCAATATAAGTCCATTTCTCCAAGGAAAACCTCCACAAAGTCACTGCTCCTGATTCAGCTGGAAGGACATCCATACAATGATATTTGAGAAGAAGACATACAAAATTGAGTATTGTGGAAAGATGATTGCTTATATCTTGAACGTGGATGATCCACTTGTCTACAAAACTCATAACCATTCTAAAAAATAAGGACATCAAATTTCAGTGCATCCTGCTCTCACAAGAGAGAAAGGTGATCATTAGAAGCCTTCCCAGCTCCACATGTTAATGCTGCCTCATGTTGCATAATATAATAATACACACACTGGCCAATCAATAAGAAACCTTTCAGATTTTCATCTGAATGCATGCTAGGGATGAAATATCCAAATTTTTTCTATGATGTGGATTATACTTGGTTAAAATGCCAGTATAAGTAAGGTGTAAGAGTGCTTTTCATGATGAATGAAGTAAAATGGGGAAAAAAGGCGGCAGATCGTTCACCATTTGAAAAAGGGGCTTATTGTTGGTGCACATTTAGTGGGGGCATCGATTTCGAATCCTTCTCTAAAAAATGTAACTGCAGTTCGAGCATAGTTTTCAAAGACAGTGATCGGCGGTATCTCCGATGAATTGTACGGCAGAACACGGATTCAACTATCACAAATCGTCAACCAAGGCTCTTCCCAACAAATTTCAGCTAGAACTATGCGCAGCGAATTGCAGAGGGATAGGAATGCATAGTTTTGGTGCCTGTAAGAAAATCACTCAGTTCTGCCGACATGCAAGACTTCATTTTCAGTGGTGTCGAGAAAAGACACTGGACATCTGAGGATTGGAAATGGGTAATGTGGTGGGATATTACATTATGTATTACATATTAAACATAAGTTATGGGTTACCTCATAACTACAGAAGGTTCCTGTTCGCTGCCAGAAAAGGTTGAAGTAATCTGCAATGTAAATTACCGACAATACATGAGCTTTGTTCATTTATGGGCATGATAAAATTTTATCGATGCTTTTTGAAAAATGCTGCAGAAACTCAAGGAGTCATACACGAAATGTTAAAGGGTGATAAAAAAAGATCATTGTAAAGTTCCATGCACAGATGAAGGTGTTTAGTGTATTTAATTATGGCAAAGCACACTAGGGCTATCTGCCTAAGAGAAGGGATGCCTTCGTGGAGGACTTTCTAAGGGAAACTGGCTCATATACACGTTACACATGGGGAAAACCACGAAAACGCCCATGCAGCCAGTACGTTCGCGGGATTCGAACCTCGGACCGAACTACCAGTGTTCAGCGATTTTACCGCTCTGCCGCTGGTAGGCCTGCACAGATGAAGGAATTCACCAGTTTGAGAAGTGCAAATCTGATTTAGTCAATGGTGCCCTTTTGTGTTTCCCAATGGATTACCCTTTGTGTGCAGATACATCAGACTTTCCTATAGGATCAGTATTGCAGCAATTGGAAGAACAAGAACAAGACTGAAAACCTATTGTGTTCTACTCTAAAACATTAAATAATGCACAGAAGGTTTATAGTACCTATGACAGAGAATTCTTAGGAATATATCTTTCTGTCAAGCATTTTAAACATGTATCGGAAGGACGCAAATTCATCATACTTACTGATCACAAGCCACTGTCATATGCATAGAAGCAAAAGAATGGGAAGGCATAACCCAGACAACAACACCAACTTCAGTATATATCGGAATTTTCAACTGATATTCAGCATATTGATGCCAAAGAAAATTTAGTTGCAGTTGAAGTAGTCTCAGTTACTGGCTATGAAGCAGTAGCAGATGCTCAAGAATATAATGAAGAATTGCAACATTTAATGACAGGTAGTGCTTCACTGAAATTTAAATCATCTACATTAGCATTTTGGAAAACATTAAGATGTGACAGCTCAACAACCAGTATCAGGCCTTTTATTTCAAAGCAATTTAGACAACAAATGTTTCATCAAATTCATAATTTTGCTCCTCTGGTATCAGGACAACTGTCAACGAGATGACTGAAAAATTTATCTTTCCAAATATAAAGAAAGAAATTCACGAATAGACTTAAAGTCCTGTTAATTGTCAAAGGAGCAAAGTCAACAGGCATACAAAATCTAAAATAGCCGAGTTCCAAGCACCTCATGCTAGATTAAGTATTGTGCAAGTTGACCTGATTGGGCCATTACCACCATCTGCTGGTAGGACGTATTATCTGACATTTATTGACCATTTTTCCTGTTAGGGAGAAGTAGTTTCTTTACCAGATATCACAAGAGAAATGGTTGTCAAAGCATTTTACAATCATTGGATTAGCAGATTTGTTGTGCCTAGTTCCATAATCTCAGATCAAGGAAGACAGTTTGAGTCGCAGCCTTTCAAGAGCCTTGCAAAAGTATGTGGTGCTAAAGTTTTACGTTCCACTCCATACCACCCACATTGCAGTGGGAAAATTGAGCAGTTTCTCAGAACTTAAAAAAATGCAATAAAGGCTCACAGCAACATCAGATGGACAGAAATCCTTCTAGGATTCAGAGTTGCAATATGTCCTGATACTAATCACTCTGTAGCTCAAATGGTATATTTTATGCAAATAAGGTTACCATGTGAGTTTTTCGACTACCTACCACTAAAACTAAACCTGAACCATTTGTAACAAATTTACTGTCTTTTATGGATCAGCACCAGTTTATCAACTGCTAACAAACATAAAATATTTATGCATAAAGACTTGAGATCATGTTCTCATGTGTTTGTGAGAACTGATCGTGTGAAAAAGGCACTTGAATTTGCTTATTGAGGGACCATTTTTTTGTGGTGAAAAAATATGATAAATATTTCCGAGTCTTAATTAAGGACAGACAAGTTAACATTTCATTGACAGACTGAAACCAGCTTATTTGTTACTTTCGAACAAATTACTAGAAACAGTGACTAAAATAAAAAAAAAAACCATTTCACATTTCATGTACCCAAAATTCTGATATTGTACCTAACGTCAAATCTATTATTCTAGATGGTATGAAAATCAGAAAATGTGTTGGATTTAAGGACTAATGTTTTGTATATTTTGCTATACTTCATCATCTTCTAAATATTAGTAAATATATATCTGCATTAGTGATAATCAGCTGTGAGCACATAGTGCACCATCTGCAACTCATTTGGGTATAAACTATGCTAGTGATTATAATGTCCTTGCTTTTTCCCATATGCCATATGTTGCATGAAATTTTGTTATATGAATCTAGCTTCCTGTGAGGAATTTCTGTGATCTTTCTAGTATGTATGGTCAAGAATTAGGCTTGTGATATACTGTCATGATTTTGCCCACATGTTCCCTGAATATACTACCATTTCCTTAGGAAGACTTCCAAGAAGAATACTGTTGTGAGTTCTAAGCCTAACTATGGTTTGGAACTGTTTATAATGAATTATTGGGATTCTGCACATGTAATGTGGATGCAATTCTATTTCCATTTAGAAGATTTTCTGCAAAGGCAATGCTTTAGCTGTGAGATAATTCTGTTTTGGAAATAAAACTGATATTTATTTAGATTTGTGGTATTTATAAGGCAGTTTATCAATAGCAGGTAGCATCTTGCCTCTTTGCTTTGATCAGGGCCTGTGCAACCAGTGGTAGTCAAAATTTTATAATTTAGCAGAGGGCACTGAGCAGCAAAATTTAGAGGCAAAAAAATGTTCAGAACTTACGAAGACATCAGCCAGCAGAATTTAGGATATGCAGAGATTGCACTGAGTGGCAATAGTGCCATATGTTACATTTGCTATCTGCATTATTAATTTGTGAAACAATTTCAGCTGCTTGAAAATGCATTTTTCTGTTAGAAATTTGTATTTCTTGCAATTTCTTTTTTTTGGGGGGGGGTCGAGAATATGGTGTTAAAAATATTTTATCATTTTCTTTTTTTTTTCTTTTCAGGTGAAAATTTTGTGCATGATTTGGCTTTCATTGAGACGTCTCTGGGTCAGGAGTTACTAAGGAAGAGAAACTTACATGCAGGTTGAAGCATGCAGTGTCAAATGTATAAGGAATATAAAAGATGCTGTATATTAGTATAAGTTTGAATAACCATAATAAAAAAATTTCTTGAAAATTGTGTTTTTTCTGCGAGTTATTAAAATTGGAAATAATTAATTACAATATTTATGAAAATTTTCGAAAATAAAAATACAAGTAGTATTTAAAAAGTACTGCAAAACTCATTTTTAAGTAGAAAAATTATTCTCAGATGAAATTCTTTATGCAAAAGGATTCGATTATGCAAAAGGACTTTTTTAGTATTTGAAAGGTTCATTTGAACCCAACAACTGAAACTAACGTATCCCCAGTTTATTGATACCAACCATTTTGTTGGTATCAATGAACCCACTACTTTCTAAAAGCATTTCTGTCAATTACTAAGGGCTAATGAACAAGTGTTGAATTCTCAAGATGAATGTTGCCGAAACAGAAAAAAGTGTACTTCAGAACATTCTGCAGTAGCTCAAACAAAGTCACGGACCTCATCTATACTGTAGTCAGAGAGAAATTATTCCCCTTCCTTTTCTTTCAAAAGCTGAGTTTCCAAACGCACAACGGGAGGCCGTTGCTAAAAGCTGTGGAACCAGTTTTATAGCTATTTTTAGCAACTTGTGAGCTGTTTTTCAGATAACACAGTAAATCTCGGGGAGGGGGAATTTGAAATCATGATCACTGCCGGTACGGCAGAATTTACGTACAGCAAAATTGTAAAATTCAGCGAAGCATCAAGCAATAAAATTTTAGAATTTTGTGGGAAGGGCACTTGACAACAGAATTTATTGCGTACAAAGTCAGCAAAATGCATAGCGCCGTACCTGATTCATGATACAGCAGTATTCATTACCAATAGCAAACTTGTTTGAGGATAAGTTCGAAAAAATGTTTTCTAGTTGTTACCTAAAATCGGTAAACAATAATCTTTGAAAGATTATTCGATTATATCGTTACTAATATGGTAAAAATTTGAAAAGCAATCAGAAGCCGTATCTCTAGGGTCTTCAAGTCACGATTTGTTTTTATTTGTTCGAATATGATATTTATATCTCTCTTCCTACAAGTATGTATCTTCGTACGTATAAAGTATCAAAAATAATAAAAGTAATTAATAAATTTTCTCTAGTTGCCCTGAAAACTACATCTGAATATAAAGATAAGAAAGACATCAGTAAATTGCTGTTGTTATTTGCTGATCATAATGGTAATCAACCGAACATGATCACATATACCGTCTTCAAAACTTTGATTTTTATCAAGCTTCATATAAATACTAGGTTTTTGTTAGTCACGTAATTTGACATCCTAAATTTAAGATGACAGATGAAATAATGACTAGTTCTGAATTAGCTCACTCAGGAAGTAAAATTTTCTCCTTCCCGTCAATATAGCATATTTATAGCTCCCAATGATGGCGATCACTAACTAAATATGTTATGGATTAGAACCCTATTGCACTCCATAAGTTTTTCTTTATTCGCTTTATGTGCATGCATGCATGCTTGGTTGTGGAAGAAATTAAAAAGCCCCCCCTTTTTTTTTTTTTTACTTAGGTTATTCGAATGTATACGCCAGACATTTATTTGTTGAACTGTAAGTTATAATTTGGAACGTGGTGCTAGAGCCGTTGGAGCCGAACCGAACGTCAGTTTGTTTAGAATTATAGAGTTTGATTACGCCAAAGCAGGTGAATTTGGAAAACACCAAAATCGGTCATGCATCCAACTCGTTCATCGAGGCTTGAACTCCGGATGAACTACCAGTGTTCGGCGGCTCGCTTGCTAGAACTGCGTTAGGCTCTTTGAATGTAGCAAAGCCACGAGGGTTACCTTCTTAAGATGGCAGGCCTTCGTGGAGTCATTTTCTGAAGGCTTAGATTAGGTTATTATGGCAAAGCACAGTAGGATGCCTTCATGTTGAACTTTCTTAGAGAAATTGACAACCCATACACGTTACACATACAGAAAATTATGAAAACGTCCATGCAGCCGGCCCGTTAGCCTTGATTCGAATCCAGGTCGAAACTACCAGTGTTCAGCGATTTAATTCCTCTACCGCGGGAGGGCCTAATTGCTGAAGGGAACTGGCTTGTATTCATGTTACACACGGTGAAAACAAACAATGCAACCAGCTGATTCGTCTGGCATCGAACCCAAACCAGTTCGAACTTCCAGTATTCAGTAGTTTTAACCACTCGGCCACTGGTGGCGTGTGGTAGGAGCCACAGATAATGTACTGAGTAGCAAAAATCCCTAATAGTGGCCCTGGTTACTAGTAGGATTGTAAGTATATTGGTAATCATCCAATCTACAGCAAGGAAATTTCGGAGCTTAATTGTAAAGTCAAATGCGACACTCCGATAAACGTGGTATATGTTCTGTAATATCTTTGCGTGTTATATACATAGTTTTTTTTTTTTTTTTTTTTTCTTTCAAAGTTAGACAAGTTTACACAAACAATATAGGTCGAAAAGGGAGCTGGTCTGCGCCCGGTGAGCCTGTCGGCAGCGTCGCAAAGCGTAATTTGACTAACGAAAAGATCATGCTTTGGATCTGGTGATCTGGATAGTCACTTGTGTTGAAAAATAAATTTATTTCAACAACATAGGCCAAAAATTTAGTTGATCTGCGCCCGTGAGTCCGTCGGCAGCATCGTAAAGCGTAATTTGACTAACAAAAAGATCATTCTTTTGTATTTGGTGGGATTGCCGTGGTATTAATCACAAATAGTATATGGAAAAAGGTAAAACCCTTGACAGTAAAGGATACAACGAGATGCTAGTGCATGTTGACGCTGCTATCAAGGAAAAGAGTCGAATTGAGTTCCGGCGCAGAAAGGTAACGTTCCATCAAGATAATACCATACGTGTCTGCATTCACCGGCTGGCCTCTGTACGGACTCGAAAGGGATCTTTCACCACATCCACCATATAACCCCGACATCGCACGTTCGGACTTTCAGCTACATCTTGCTGGTCCTATCTTCACTTCTGCACAAGACGTCCGAAATGAGGTTGACCTGTGTTTGGACTCGGGCCACCAAGTTTCCGAGCCGAAGGTTTTGAAAAACTACCAAAAAAATTGGCAGAAAAGCATAGATTTTTGGTAGTGATTACTATCCGCACTAAAGGTACTGACTGCTTTTTTTTTTTTTTTTCATAACTTTATGAAGAACGTTCGTGCTTAAAATTTTCGTTACAACCATTAAATTCTGTAATTTATGAATTCCTTCCCACTTCTCATGTATTTATCAACTGTTCTTTATGAACCTGATATTCCTACAATTATCAGCTGTACTTTATAAATCTGATATGTAGAAACGCAATTTGATTTTATGCATTTCAGTATCAAGTGAAATCTTTAAACTAATCGTTCATTATAACACTTTATGTTGTTTTCATTCAAAGCTGAACTCAGATAATGTGCCGAGGTTGAACTACCAGTAATAGGCGACTTTAGCGCTCGCCCGCTAGAATTTAGAGAGGAACTGAGTGCTAGAATTGGGTTAGGCTCTTTGAATATAGCAAAGCCACGAGGTGGCAGATAGCAGATGCTTTCGTGGAGGAAGTTTCTGAAGGCTTAGTTTAGTTTATAGCAAAGCTCCCCATACACGTTACACACGGGGAAGATTATGAAAACGCCCATGTAGCCAGCCCGTTCGCCTTGATTCGAACCCAGGTCGGAACTACCAGTGTTCAGCGATTTAACCGCTCGGCCGCGGGTGAGCCTAATTGCTGAAGGAAACTGGGTCGTATTCATGTTGCACAACAGGAAAACAAACCATGCAGCCAGCTGGTTCGCCTGGGATCGAACCGAAACCAGGTCGAACTTCCAGTAATCAATATTCTTAACCACTCAGCCACTGGCGGCGCGTGGCAGAAGTAAGAGCCACAGATATTGTAGTGAGCAGCAAAAACCTCTAATACTGGCTCTGGTTACTAGTAGAATTATATATTGGTAATAATCCAATCTACAGCAATGAAATTTCGGAGCATAATTGTGAAGTTAAATACGACACTCCGATAAACGTGATAAAGATGAAAAATTTTTTAAAAAAGGAAACTTACTATGCAAATACATGTATTCATTAGTAAACATTTTATAAAATTTATTCTTAATTTAGCGTTTATGAATTCTCAGAGAATTATCTCATCGAATTATTTTTTTCTCCTCTGGTAATCCAATATAATTGAGTAAATTTATGTGCTGTTAATATCTTTGCCTGTTATGTACATAGTTTTTTTTTTTTTTTTTTTTTTTTCCGTTCAAAGTTAGATAAAACTGAACGTACGTTACACTGAAATTACTTTGTCTAGAAAGTAAGCGCTTGAGTAGAAACAGATGTTGGGGTTTTATTTTTAGAAGACATGAGATCGCTTTCTGTAAAGTAATGTTATAAAATTTTGAATTTGAAATAATCGTACTTCGTTTTTTAGTAGCGCAGAATGATAAAGATTTAATGAGAATATAGCAAAGCATCTTTTTAGAGACGCTGTTATAATTTTGCTATTTTATTTTTTTATGGTAGGTCAAGGAAAAAGGCAGGCTGCTAAATACGGTAACAGCACATTACTCTGTTTCATATATAGCGAATCCGCTCTGAAATGAGGCACGAAGCGGTAAAGTAGCTGAACACCAGTATTTCGGTCCGAGTTTCGAATCCCGCGAAGGGACTGGTTGCGCTTTTGTGGTTTTACCCTGTGTAACGTGTGTCTAGGAGCCAATTTCCCTTAGAAAGTCTTCCACGAAGGCATCCTTTCCCTTAGGCAGATAGATCGTACCGGTGTTTATTTATCAACAGTACTGGTTATTTTTAAAAATGATCATCCTAGAAAGGTGATTGCCAAAAAGTATTCACTTCGCATATTTATACGTTATGCATGAATATAC